GAGACACATGGCGAGACGATAAAGCGGCTTCAGGTCACCCTGGGAGCGAGGTTCACTGGCGCCTGGCGCGCGCTCGCCCAGCAGCAAACGTGCGTCGATTTCCTGTCCTCCTTCCGCAGCCATAACTGCGACGCGCGGGCCGTGGGCGACGCGCTGGACCTCGGCGTTGACTGGGCGCAGTTGCGGCTTCGGTACCTGGGTGGAAGTGGCGGCGCGGGCAGGGGGCGCCGGGCGGCGAAGGGCCACGCTGATCGCCGCGCACCCAGGAAGGACTAGAAACAGTGGAAGGTCGTCACCTAAAGCCGCGGGCGCGCCCGCCCTTGTTTCACCCTATTTCGCTATGGCTTCTCCTGGGTGTGGCCGTGACCCGGCCTTCCAGCGGGAAGCCTTGTGCAGCTTAGGTTCTGTGCGGTCGACAGGGTCGGGTGTGGTCTATCCCGCTTGGCTCCTGGCGTTGCCAACAGGTCCACGGGTGTCACAGGTGGCGCACTTCGGATGACTGTTGGTCGTGCGTCGCATCCGCTGGCGCCGCCTTCATTGTCCCGGTGTCACCCGCCACTGGCTGCGCACGAGCACCCTGGGTACTTCTTTGGCATTGGGTGTGGTCCATCCTGCTCGGTTGCATTTCTATGTATTCACAGGTCTTGCTATGCTATGCATGGACCACGGTGCACATGATTGCTCCTGGGACGCAGGTTTACCTACCTTTGAGCGGTCATTACTTGATCTGTCGGTGTGCGACGCTTCGGCTGGCGCCTCTTCAGATTTCGCGCCATTCTGGCAGCGCGTGTCAGGTTTGGCTAATTTGGTGCTCCCTGGGTTTCCCTGGGTCACTTGCAGCTCTGCCCTGGGTTCAGCTTCCCTGGGATCAGCCTCACCCTCGCCGCAGTTGCTGCTTGCTGCATCCAGCGCCGCCGCGGCCGCCTTGTCGCGCGCGTTAGCCGTCGGTAATTGATTGCCGGTCGCGGCCCGACCTTCTTCGCCCGACGCTGGCGCGTTCGCCCGCGGCCGTAAAAAAAATAGTATCCCCACCATTCGGCCCCCCTGGCATTTGGCCCCTCTGCAGCTCGTTGCATGCGTGCAACCCCTGGCAGTGCAGCTACCCTGGCAGCCGCAGCCAGCACCCCTCCACTCGCCGGCCTGCCCGCCGAGGTGCCGCGTGAGGCTCCGGCCCATCGGCTTTAGGTTAATTCGTCTTTGCGCGGCCCGCTCTGACTCGACTCGCCGCTGGCGCTCTCGCCTGCGGCTGCTGATTAAAAAAGTATCCCCACCAGCCCATCCAGAAACGATGCCCATGACAGTTGACGGGGGGAGAGAGGAGGGGACACGCAGAGTCAAACAGCGAGCGAGGCTTGGGAGGCTCCGTGGCCACCTCGAGCCGTCTTTGAGCGGTTTGGGGGCCGTTTGGAGCATCTTGGGAGCCATCTTGAGCCAGCTTGGGTTATCTTAGCCATCTTGGAGGTCATCTTGGGCTCTCTGAGGCCGCTCAAGGGCCTCTTGGGGTCCTCTCGGGTGCCTCTTGGAGGCCTCTTGGGGTTTCTTCGGGCGCTTTGGAAGCCCTGGAGCCACTCTTGGGGCCATCTGGAGGCGGTCGGTCACAACAGGGGGGGGTGCTCGATTTCCTCCCCCCCTCGGAGGCCACGATCCTCTTGAGTGGTGTCAAGAATTTGCCCTCCCAGGGGCCGAAAAAAGGAGCCTCCGACACCTCGCGAACCCTCCAACAAAATCTTCAGGGAGGGGGAGGGTTCCCCTCCCGAAGAGAAGAGGGATTGTCGAAGAGGAAAGAGACCCTCGTCAGACCACCTGTCGCCCAAAGGGCTGGTGGGATTCAGAGGAGGAGGAGGAAGAGGAGGAGGAGGAGGAGGAGGAGGAGGAGGAGGAGGAGGAGGAGGAGGAGGAGGAGGAGGAGGAGGAGGTGGAGGTGGAGGGAGAGGAGGAGGAGAGGGGAGAGGGGGAAAGAGGGGGAAGAGGAGGGGGAGGGAACGCCGACAGCATCCAGGGGCAGACGAAGTGAGTTCCCGCTCCCTCTCCGGGATCGCCCCTCCGCCGCCCTCCGCCCCCCCTGTCCACTTTTGCCACGCCCACCCACCCCTCCCCCGCTCCGACATCCGTTCCGCTCCATATCCCGTTCTGTCTTCCTCGCCCCCCCCCCCTCAAGTCCAGAGCCTGCTCGCTTGGGGTACATCGTGACGGCACTGGCTGCGGTGCATCTGGTTGTTTGGGGAGGAGGCGGGAAATTGGATGGCCGCGGTGCTGGACTACCTGGTGGTGCCAAGGTGGGCGCAGCCGCCGTTTCGCGGGATGCGATCTTTAGTCTAAGTTCCCTAGGTCTCTGAGTGCCTCCTCCTCCTCCTCCTCCTCCTCCTCCTCCTCCTCATCCTCCTCCTCCTCCTCCTCCTCCTCCTCCTCCTCCTCCTCCTCCTTCTCCTCCTCCTCCTCCTCTCTTCTCGCTTCTCCCCCCCCGTGGTGCAGGCAGACATCGCGCACCATCCGCACGGAGGAGGCGCTGCTCATCGCCCTCACCGCCCTGCGCCCGCACCTGCCGGAGCTCTTGCGGCGGCGCACCCCCGAGCGCGCCCCCTCGCTCGTGCCCGTCCCGCCCCATCGGGGGATGAGCGGGGGACGGAGGGGGAAGAGGAGGGGAGGAGGAGGAAGGAAGGAGAAGAGAAGGAGAGGGGGGAGAAGAGGAGGAGAGGGGGGAGAGGAGGAGGAGGAAGAGGAGGAGGAGGAGGAGGAGGAGGAGGAGGAGGAGGAGGAGGAGGAGGAGATGGGAGAGGGGGAAAGAGGGGGGAGAGGAGGGGGAAGAGGAGGGGGAGGAGGAGGGAAAAGAGAGCGTAGCCCCTGGCGGGCGTCCAGCGCACTGCTCGCATGCCTCACGCCATGGGCCATCCCATGGGCGAGCTGCGAGGGGCGCTGCGTCGCTTGCTAACCGCTGCGTCCACTGTTTTACCTAATCTGACGTTGTCCTGGGTCTGCCCAGGAGGGCCCGTGGCTGCTAGGTGATTGCTGCCGGCATGCGGCCGAAAGAAAGGCGGACGGGGAGAAGGGGGGGGAGGAGAAGGAGAAGGAGGAGGAGGTCTTCTCGTTCTCGTGCTCGCCGTTCTCGGCGAATACTTGCCAGGCACGACCTCATTTAAATCCCATGTTCCTTCTTTTCCCAGCTCTTGTAGCGGGGGCTCCACCTTGGATGGTCTCTTGGAGGCCTCACGACAAGGACCATCTCGAGCAGTCGTAGGGCTCGCGTCGGGCATTATTGGGCCTCTTTGGGGCCGTCTTGGGGCTGCCTTCGACCTTCTGGATGCCATCTCGGTATAGTTTGACGCGATGTTCGGGGCATCTTGTGCGGCCTCGGAAGTTCGGAATACAAAAGAACCGAGAATCCAAGCATCAGACAGAGTCATAAGAAAATCCATGTCTTTTGCATCTGAATGACCCTTGGGGGTCTTCATCGAGTCGTCTTCGGGCGTCTCGGGGGTGTCTGGGGCCGCTCGGGGCGTTCGCAGGGTCTCCTGACTGCGTTTGCCTGGGCCCGGCAGGAGCGTCCAGGAAGCCTGGGAGATCCATGGGAACTTTTTGCAGGGGCGTCCAGGGTCCCCATGGCCAGGGATCCGGGAGGGGGGGGAGGGGGGCGGCCAGTTTCGAGGGAGGGTTCACCTCCCCCGCAGTGCAAAAAAAAGAGCTAGGAGTGTAGGATTGCGCTTCATGGGCGCCACATGCTCATTTTTAACGAAGGCTCTTTTTGTCCTCTTCGAGCTCCGCCGATTTACCAGGCCTGAGGCAGCTGCGAGACGGCCATTGGCACAGCGAACCACCTTGCGTGTACAGAGAATATATGCTACCAGATCGACAGCAGTACCCTTGCGATCGGCCACTCTTCCCACCAAATGGGTTGTCACTCATCCGTGCGTCCTGTCAGCATATTTGCCCAGCCGTTTTGCTCACGTGGCCTTCAGAATCCAAACTCCTGCCCCTCCCTCTCCGTCTCTCCCCCCTCATTTCGCCCCCCTTCCCACCCCGCTCCCTCTCTCCCCCAGCACCCGATCCCCCTCTCTCCGAACTTTGCCTCTTCCCCCTCCTCATCCCAGGAGAGATGATGGCGACGGCGTCCTGTCACCGGACGCGTTCTCTCGGAGTCGGAGCAGGCCTCAGCGAGTCCACCGCGCGTGAACCAGGCGGGCATGGGCGGGCTGCTGCCAGAGCGCGTCGTCGGAGCCGCGCGGGCCACGATGGTCCGCCTTCGGACTTCGGCCCGGATGGCGTAGAAATAGCGGCCTCGGAAAAAATAGCGAGCACTCATGCCGCATTCATCTGTCAACGCCTCCCCCTCCCCCCCATGTAAGTTGGCGGTGGGTCTGATGAGGTGCACCTCGACCGCAGTCTCCCCCGCGCGTGCCAACTTTGAGTTTGGGGGGCAGGGGGGGTGTTCACGAATGGTTTCCCTCTGCCGTAGATGTCTGAAGGATGTTGCATCTTGTCTTGGCAATGTTCCTCGCCCCGCTCCTCGCCCGCCTCCACCGCCTCTCTCGCCCCTGTCTCCTGCGACCGCTGCTGCTGCCGCACCCCACCTTCTCCACTTCATCCCTCCCTTCTCCTTCGCAGAGCGCTCTCTCTCTCTCTCTCCCATCCCTCCCTCTCGCACTCCTCCGTCTCATCCTCTTCTACATTGTGGTATCTAGTCCTCTGGTAATCATCTCGTTCCATGCTCTGCGGTGCCTGCATGTCGATATCTTTGCCAACTCATTACGGACACCGATGCAGTTGAAGCAAGCAAACAAGATCCTCTCAATGTCTTGCTCCTGCCCCAGCGCCTTATCTTGTCCATGATCAGGCACATCATCGCCCATGCCTCCACCACCACCACCTCCTCCTCCACGACGACGAGGGATGAGGACGACGACGGACGACCGAAAAAGACCGGCGACGAGAGGAGAGTGAGGGAGCGAGAGGGCAGGTAGTGGACCTTCCCCTTGCCGTGCGCCGCCGTGCCGCCTGGCCCTGCTGCTCAGGCGCCCCCCCCTCTCCCTCCCGGCTGGGCGACCGCGACCGCGACCGCAGGCCGAGGGAGGGGAAATCGGCATCGGCAGGGCCTACCGCAGGGCGGCAGTCGAGGCCCCGATTCCACCTTGCGTGCTTTTGGCCTCCAATTTTTTTGTTGGGCGGGCGTCTTGTGTGCACGGGGCGACCTCGGAGGAGCGCAAGAGCGCAAGGTGAGGAGGAGGATGAGGAGGAGAAGGAGGATGATAAGGAGAAGTAGGAGCAGGAGGAGGAGGAGACGAAGTAGGAGGAGGAGGAGGAGGAGGAGGAGGAGGGGCAGAAGGAGGATGATGAGGAGAAGTAGGAGCAGGAGGAGCAGGAGGAGGAGGAGGAGGAGGAGGAGAAGGAGGAGGAGGAGGAGGAGGAGGAGGGGGGGAGGGGGGAGGGGAGGACTGTGGACAGCTGCCTTCGCCGCCAGGCGCGAGAGGGAGCATCGAGAGGAGGGGGAGGACGATGAAGAGGAGGACGAGGAGGAGGACGAGGAGGAGGAGGAGGAGGTGGGAGGAGGACGAGGAGGACGAGGAGGAGGAGGAGGAGGAGGAGGAGGAGGAGGAGGAGGAGGAGGTGGGAGGAGCAGCAAAAGCAGGGGGACAGGCCAGCAGGAGCCGCGCAAGGCGCGCCGATGGCCGCCGCCGCGGCGGGGCTCCGCCCGCGGCGGTGCCGCGGCGCGCCGGCGCGTACCGCTGGGGCCCGAGGCGTGCAGCCGCGGCCGCGCCCGACGCTTGCAGCCGCCGCTGGCGCGCCTTCCTGATGGGTCGGGGTGTGCGGGAAGAAAGGGACAAGGAGCATCAGGAGGAGGAGGAGGAGAAGGAGAAGGTGGTGGTGTTGATGATGATGGTGATGGTGATGATGATGATGATGATGATGATGATGATGATGATGATGATGATGATGATGGTGGTGGTGATGGTGATGGTGATGGTGATGGTGATTCGAATGATGATGCTGCTGATGATGATGATGCTGATGATGATGTGATGATGATGATGATGATGATGATGATGATGATGATGATGATGATGATGATGATGATGATGATGATGATGATGATGATGATGATGATGATGATGACTATGATGATTCTGATGGTAGTGATGGTGATGCCGTCGGTGGTGATGTGATGTGAAACCGATGGCGCTGGTGCTGGTGACGGAGATGGAGATGATCGTGATGGTAATTGCGATGGTGCTAGCGGTGGTGATGAGGATGCGAAGTGGACGAGGAGGATGAGGATGAGGACGGTGATCGTGGTGGTGGTGTTGATGATGATGATGACGATGGTGTTGGTGGTGTTGGTGTTGCTGCTGCTGATGATGATGAAGATGATGATGATGCTGAAAATCAAGACTAAGACGATGTTGATCAGAGAGATGCTGGTGCTGGTGGTGACGAGGATGACAAGGAGGAAGAGGATGAGGACGATGATGGTGGTGCTGTCGGTGGTGATGATGATGACGACGACGACGACGACCATGATGATGATGATGATGATGATGATGATGATGATGATGATGATGACGATGATGATGATGATGATGGTGGTGGTGGTGATGATGATCATGACCATGGTGATGCTGATGATGACGATGTTGCTGATGATGGCGATGGTGGTGGTGATGATGATGCTGATAACGATGATGGCCATGATGATGACATGATGATGAAGAAGGTGGAAATGATGATGATGATGATGATGATGATGATGATGATGATGATGATGACGATGACGATGACGATGGTGATGATAATAGTAATGGTGATGGTAATGATGATGGCACTGATAATTAAAGTGCTGCTTGCGACTACCCCTGCCGCTGCGGAGCACTTACAGATGGTGCCGGAGGGATCTGTGTCTCTGAGGTGTGCGGTCGAGTCTCGGCGTCAACACAAATCCCTCCAGCAGCAACTCTTAGATAAGCGTTCAAACTCTGCTGAGACGGCGGTGAAGGCTTCCCAGGCATAGCAGGAGCGTAAGAGATTGAGTGCGCACGTGTACGCTGAGCGTAGGAGAGGCAAGCTGTGGGCCCCCACCAGGAAGACGCTCTCTTTACAGGCTCTGGCTTCTCCTCGGGGTCAACTGATTTCGGCGCCTCGCGAGATGGCATCGGCGTTGCATCAGCATTGGGCCCCAGTCTTTCAGGGGAAGTCGCCGCCCATCGGTCACATCCGTAATTAGGTATTTGGCGAAGCGTGCTCAACCGTTCGATTGGTCGGAAGCTGCTCCACCCTCGCTCTGCGGCGTTGCCGCAGGCGAAGCCAACGGCCCCCGGCCCAGACGGGCTGCCCTGCGCTGCGTGGCAGCCGAACCTTTTCTCGGCTGAGATCCTCTTTGACCTCCTCCAGTTCCTTCTCCGCGAGCTTGAGTTGTTGCTGGTCTTCGCCCCCAGAGGCGAACGGGACTATGGTTGTCAGCGCGTGGTGCGAGAGGCAGCGACCACGCGCAATCTTGCGCTTCAGAATGCAGATGTGAAGGTGCTCTCGCCGGCTTGTAACTTCCAGCTGAAGGGCATGCTAAGTGCTCAGGCTCAGGGGGACCAGCGGGGATTTTAAGTTGTGCCAAACTTTTTGAACGACACCACGGCCAGGATTGTCAGCATGCCCAGCCAGGCCCAAGAGCGTCACACTGTCCTCTTCCTGTCTGATTTCGGCAACGCCCTCTCCTCTCTCGCTCATGTGTTCCTCTGGGAGGTTTTGAAATTCTTGGGGATGCCTGATGGTTTCCTGGCGTTTTTGTCAGGCTTCGTACGCAGTCTGTAGGCCCTTGCCATAGTAGATAGTGGTAGTACTAGTAGTAGTAGTAGTAGTAGTAGTAGTAGTAGTAGTAGTAGTAGTAGAAGTAATAGTAGTAGTAGTAGAAGTAGTAGTGGTAGTAGTAGTAGTAGTAGTAGTAGTAGTAGTAGTCGTAGTCGTAGTAGTAGTAGTAGTAGTAGTAGTAGTAGTAGTAGTAGTAGTAGTAGTAGTAGTAGTTAGGTTTAGTAGTAGAGTCGTAGTAGTAGTAGTTGTCAGTAGTTAGTAGTAGTTAGTAGTAGTGATTTTTATCAGTTTTATAGTCGGTAGTCGTAGTTAGTAGTAGTTAGCTAGTAGTTGTTAATTGTAGTTGCTGTAGTAGTAATTGTGGTAGTGGTTGTAATAGTAGATGTTCAGTAGTAGTAGTCGTAGTTAGTAGCAGTAGTAGTGGTTAGTTAGTAGTAGTAGTAGTTGTAGTAGTTAGTAGTGTAGTTAGGTCGCTGTCAGTTAGTAGTAGTAGTAGTAGTAGAGTAGTAGTAGCAGTTTAGTAGTAGTAGTTAGCCACTAGTAGTAGTTGTTGTAGTAGTAGTAGTAGTAGTAGTAGTAGTAGTAGTAGTAGTAGTAGTAGTAGTAGTAGTAGTAGTGGCAGTAGTAGTCGTAGTTTTAATTGTAGTAGTGGTATTAGTAGTAGTAGTAGTAGAAGTAGTAGCAGTAGTAGTAGTAGCAGTAATGGTATTGGTAGTAGTAGTAGTAGTAGTAGTAGTAGTAGTAGTAGTAGTCGCAGTAGTAGCACTAGTAGTAGTAGTGGTAGTAATAGTAATAGTAGTAGTAGCAGTAGTAGTAGTAGTTGTAGTAGTAGTAGTAGTTCGTGGTAGTAGTAGTAGTAGCAGTAGTCGTAGTAGTAGTAGATAGTATTATATAGTAGTAGATAGTATTGAATAGTAATAGGTAGTAGTAGTAGTAGATTGTCGTAGTAGTAGTCGTCGCCGTAGTAGTATTAGTAGTAGTAGTAGTAGTAGTCGTAGTAGTAGTAATCGAAGAAAAAATGGTAGTAGTAATAGTAGTAGTAGTTGTTGTAGTAGGTAGTAGTAGTAGTAGTAGTAGTAGTAGTAGTAGTAGTAGTAGTAGTAGTAGTAGTAGCAGTAGTCGTAGTAGTAGTAGTAGTAGTAGTCGTAGTAGTAATAGTAGGAGTAGTAGTAGTAGTAGTAGTAGTAGTAGGTAGTTGGGAAATGTGAGCAATAGTTCGTGGTATTGGTTAGTAGTAGTATTTGCTAGTAGTTGTATGTAGTGAGTAGTGGTTGTAGCACTTAGTAGTCGCAGTTTTTCTATTGTTCGTTTATTCGTAGCAGTTCGTAGTCGTTTAGTAGTTAGAAGTAGTAGCTAGTAGTAATATAGCATAGTGTAGTAGTAACTGTTTAGTAGTTAACAGTGGAAGTAGTAAGCAGTGGTAGTTAGTAGTAGTAGTAGTTAGTAGTAGTAGTAGTAGTAGTAGTAGTAGTAGTAGTCGTAGTCGTAGTCGTAGTCGTAGTAGTAGTAGTAGTAGCAGCAGCAGTAGTAGTGGTAGCAGTAGTAGCCGTAGTAGTAGTAGTAGTAGTAGTAGTAGTAGTAGTAGTGATAGTAGTAGTCACAGTCGTAGTAGAAGTAGTAGCAGTAGTAGTAGTAGGCGTAGTAGTAGTAGTAGTAGTAGTAGTAGTAGTAGTAGTAGTAGTGGTAATAGTAGTTGTAGTGCAGTCGTAGTAGTAGCAGTCGTAGTAGTAGTTGTAGTAGTAGCTGTAACCGTAGTAGTCGTAGTGTTCGTATCAGTAGTAGTAGTAGTAGTAGCAGTAGTCGTGGTAGTAGTCGTAGTAGTGGTCGTGG